AAAGGATATACAAAGTGACAAAGAGTTTAAGGGGAGGGATCCCCATTTTTTGAAAAAAATAGGGATTAGGTGTGGGGCCCACTTCACATCTAATTTCAACGATCCAAACCGTCTATTTTGTTAGTCTCGATTCATAGATCATCCTTGCAAAATATTAACTAAATTGGAAATGTTTAAGACATCTAATTGGGTTCAAGGAAATGAACGAATACTTTGTTATATAAGAAAATAGGAAATTTGATATTGATAACTAAATAGGCAAATGGTTTCGGATTGAATTGAATTTTTGCAAGGATGATCTATGAATCGAGACTAACAAAATAGACGGTTCGGATCGTTGAAAATTGATGTGAAGTTGACCCCACACCTAATCCCCATTTTTTTCAAAAAATGGGGATCCCTCCCCTTAAGCTCTCTGTACAAAGTGAATACAAGCACTATATTTTCGAAGAATCGAATTACGTAACAACAGCATTGACGGTTGCTGGTCCGGTTCGCAATGCTCATGAGCTGAGAAGACAAGGCAATCTGTTGTATGAAACCACTAAGATTGCCTCGAAAAAATTATACGTTCGTTTACAAGAATTGGAATAGCAACTCGTTCCATACGTCAGGTACACCAGGCAAGCACCAGTGTATGCAATCCGAGTAACTTGTGGGCTTAGACAATTGTTCTGGCTTCAGTGGCTCCCAGAATTTGCGGTAAATGGAAGGGTGACCATCTTTCCGGTACTCCGATAATTGCGTAATGTTGATGACAGAAACCTTGGAACTCAACTTGCTGAGGACCGTCTCCACCATGCTCATGGTAGGCAGGTCAGAACCACTTCCCCAGTAGCCCTCCAAGTCAATGGGGGATTTCTCACTGTAACAATTACCTTCACTTTCTTGTTTCCATTCTCGACTCCTAAAAATTCAGGAAATTACGTATTAGATACATGCAGGTCATATAAGAAATTTCCAAAAATGATGAAATTGTCCTCTGTACAACTAGAACTAGGTTAGTACGACGATTTTGTATACACAGGTCATCAACTAACGTGTCCGCAGTACGAGGATACAAATATAATTGAATTTCGAACAATTTCCAAAATCTGAAGGATAGGTTGCCCCAACATATTTAGAAAGAAGTGTTGATATATAGGTGGTGTATAGAGATCAAAGCCAAAAATAGTCACGAGAAAAAAAAATTAGAAGGCATCTACTTACATTGAGAAAACTTCTTAGAAAAAGTAAGCACGGTTGTTATTCAAATGTACAATTATTCGAGCGTTTGGTTCAAGGGTTGACTTTCTTTGTAAAATGAGCTTGGACTTAAGTAACTAGGAGTTATTCATACATGAATTGAATTTATTCAATTAAACTCAGTTGATGAGGTTTGCATTATCAGAGCGCTTGGAGTGACATTGTTGTTTTAATCAAAATGAGGTTCTTCGGCTTTCTCCTTGTTCTTTTCCAGTCGAAGTTAAACACATAAGGCTGGGTGGAAGTGACATTGTTGTTTTAATTAAACAAAAAAAGGAAAGGATGTTTTGTGGTCAAGTATCTTTGACAGGTCTAACCCCGTGGAGAACCTCTAAATCTTTAGAGAATTAGATTTTTGCATACTATTGCATATAGCAAGAAGTCCAGACGTGACTGTGTGTGCCTTGAAATGCCTAGTTGACCGTCTCCATTCAAGTAACAAGAAGCCTATATTTATTACAAAAATTGAAATTTTTATAGAAATAACAGCCAATGTGGTATCAAAGAATATATAGAAGGGCAAGATGCTAACCAGAGATGTGTAGGAGACATTGTGACGAAGAAGACCTGCTTCTTGAGGGGATTGACCTTAGAAGCCCAGTCTGCCCAAGCCCCCATGGCCAACTCCATGGCTCCAAGGCCGTCTACTTCTTCACAAACACCGTTTGCTTCCGCGCTCCATCTGTATGAATTCAAAGTCAGATCAATTTAGATACCAATTCAAATTTCTATATAACTCAGTTCTTTCTAAACTGAAACCCGGATAGTATCGCGATTATACTCACAGCAGCTTAACCGGGCCTTGTCTCCACCACAGGTAGGAATTGAATATCAATATATCAGCATTCTCCCATATTGATGCATGCTTAAGAACTGAATCTGGTCGGATTATCCGATCGGATGTTCGGTGATTCACCGGATCATCAGAATTAGATTCTACAAGAAGCGGAGCCCAGAGAAATTCCACTGTTGCATTATATTCCTGAAAATGACACAAATTCAATTTATGCACTCACCTACTGCAGGGAACCGCACCCAAATTTCTTCCACTCTCGCCACTGATTCTACTGAAAATTTAAGTCAAAACTAAAATCGAATGTTTCATGACGACAATTATTACCAACTTTCAATTGTTTCCTAAGGATATTCTTTGATCAAAACTCCAAAATTTTCTCTTAGTCATAAGAGAACAGCCTAATGCATTGTACATAGTTGTACCAACCCCAATTAGTTTTCTCCCAGATTGAAAACTCTGTTTACCTCTGCTTTGAAAATAGTAAGTTCAGCGTTCGGTGACATTGATCTCCTATCTGAAGGAATCACAGATTGTAACAAACAGACCATTGATATCCATTGCCCTCGGTTTAATGAATCCCCTACAAACATTAGCCTTTTGCCTCTCAACTTCTCCCACATTTCAGTCACATTCCATCTATACAGAAAAAGAAACAATTTCAATAAAACCATACATTAAATTAAAAGGAAATTCAACCTTTCCATTCTCAAACAACCAAAAATACCACACTTGTCCTACAAGTCAAAGTCTACAATTTTTCCAATGAGTTTATTAAGAGCAAAACAAATTCCAGTTCAAGGATTCAAGTATATTGAACTAGAAGTTGCTTTAAACCGAATCGGAACTAAGTGCTTTTTCCAATTATACTGTATAAAACAATTGAAAAGACAATGTGGGATTATAATTTCCAATCCCAAACAACAAAACACCTCTTTACCTCTTCAAGTTGCAATTGTGGGGTTGCCATCTCCAGTACTGGTACCCCAAATCAGGCCTCCCATGCTTGTGACAGGCCAACTGGTCCGACATGTAAGGGCACTCCGACTCCTTGTACAGCGGATACGACGCATTATCAAACACCCATTTGCCGGAAAACACATCACACCTCTCCAAACTCTCTCTCCGGTGACCGTACTCCGGCGTCCGGTCAGTCCACAGAATTTTCTGGCCACTGTACTCTCTGGTGGAGTTGCATGTACTGAATCTATCCAAAACCTCTGAAATTTCACAAAAACCAACTTAAACCCACTTCGCCAAAGCAAAGAAGAACCACTAAATTTAAAAACCCAGTAAAGAAATCGATCAAGAATTCAGATTAAGATTCAAGAAATGCAGAAAAACAAAACCCAGAAAGCTTGTTTAGCAGAACCAAACACTGCCTTACCTGGAGCATGGTTTTGCTGGGTGAAAAGATTTGGCTTTACAAAAGTGACTGAATCTTGACGGTGATAAACGCGATCAGGGCTCTCTTGAATTTGCAGAATTCTGCGTTGGCTGTGGAGATTCGAGAAAACTATGAACAGAAAGAAGAAGAACACCAGCGCAGGAACATGGGTTTTCTTCTTGTTCCACTTCCACCTCTGCCACTGCTGCATCGTGAAAAAGATTAAGACTTTTTGCTTGGTTCGGGAAATTAATTGACCGAAGAATTGAAAGGGAAATAAAAATCAAAAGGGGGTTCGAATTTGTTCAATCATTATCGCATGAAAAGGGACAGAGACTGTATGAAATGATGGAGTCGTTGTCCAAAGAGTGAGACTGAGAGGGCGGCAGGTAAGAAGACGAAGAAGAAAACTAATGAATAATCGTGCGGGTTAATAGAAAATTAATTGTTTCGTTATTAATAAGGAGCTAATAATTTACTAGTTGGACTCCTGTTGGTAAAATCATCCGCTGGATTTGTCGTATGTGGAATTGGGATTTTTAAAGTTGAACTAGTCTGCTCTTTACTTTATGACTTGTTGGAAATTCACATTACATGATGTCACTTAGACCGGAATCTTTTTTTTAATGAATACTTTAATCAGCTTTTTCTTTAAATCAATACTTTAATCAGCTTCTATATGATTGTGGTTTGTCTTTTGAGAGAGAAAATTAGAGCAATGCTCTTGAATTTTGCTTCAATTGGAATTTCTCACAATAAAATTCTGTGAGTATTGGTCTGTGAAAAGGATTAGAAGGTTATAAGCATTTTTAAATGGGTAAAAAATGGACGAAAATTCTATTAGAGCTAACTAAAAGCACAATTGGTCCATATGATTACAAATTCCAGACACATATTCATGAATTTTTAGTTTAGGAATCAAAATTTCAATTGAGTTAAAGTTAAGGGACCATTGCTCTAATTATTTCTTTTGGTTTCCTAGTCAGGAAACTATGCATTTTACATGGACCGTTTAATAACTATTTCGTTTTTAGTTTTTGATTTTTCAAAAAACCAACAATTGAAAACTCAAGGCCAAATTTTGAAAACTCAAGAAATTAATTTTTAGTTTTCATTTTTTTTTTGAAATTGAAAGTGATTACCATACAAGATTTCAGTTTAAAAAAATAAAAAATAATAAACGAAATAGTTATCAAATGACCCTTAAAATAATAGGTCTTTTATTCCCTATGGATTTTAGCGTGCAACCGGGGGTAGATACTCTCTCAATTTCATATTGGATGATTTATAAGATACAAAGAGCGAAATATACCGAGAATTCTTTGAAGCCAAATTTCTTAATTCATACTTTTACCTTTTTTTCTTTTGGGAAATTATAAAGTACATTCAGTAAACAAGGTAAATGACAACATAAAGGGTTAAGTTGAGCGAAACCCTTCGGCTTTGTTAGGCTTTGGACATTGAAATCATTGTTAAGAAACCCATAAATGCCTGTATCTTCCTTTGGTAAGTACACCAACATTGTTCATTGTCATGCAATTTAAACCCACATCATAGTCTCCTTTAAAACCCACGTCAATGAAATTAACCTAAACGATTTATGAGGAAATTTTGTTGTACAATTTTGTCACGTGATGAAAGATATAGCTAAAAAAAAAAAAGTACTTTTAACACCCAATAAAAACTCATCCTACACATTCTGTGGGGCGGCAATGGGTTTGATGTGTTCAACACATCAACTATTGCATTCAATCCTAATTCACAATTCGTGGTTTTTACTAATTCGTTTAAAAAAAAGGTACAAGTTTTGATCTGTTTGGAACCTTATTATTTCCAAACTGAACTTATCATTGTTGGAAAATGTAAGCATAGAGAATCTCATTCCACACGTCAGGCACTCCAGGGAGGCACCAGTGTATGCAATCTGCAAAAGTGCTAGGGTTTGATGCTTGTTCTTCAGTCAGAGGCTCCCATTGCTTCCTGTAAATTGATGGATGCCCTTCTTTCCTGTATTCTGAGAGTTGTGTTATGTTGAGCATTTGAACATCCAAACCTCTTACTTTCAGTCCATCTAGGGCATTCTCAACTAAACGTAGCATTTTGGGATCTGATCCATTTCCCCAATATCCCTCCTCAGTGATTGGCTTTGTTTCTTTGTAGCAATTCTCACCACTTTCCCCACCCCATTCTTTAGCACTGCATGTATATTTATTTTTTGTTAGGGTTAGGAGTAGAGGTTCTAATTTGGGACGTCTTTTGACATTAAGAGGAAAGATAAATACCATTAGACTAACAAATATGACGTAATCATAAATTTATTTAGGCATACAAATAGAGAATATGCACAAACAGAATTGAAGACAATGTTTCAATAATAAAAAAGTAGATCTAGAGGGACACTAAAGAAACACTAAACCGTAGCTTATGTAAAGCTTATTGTTTGCTTAGTGTCTTATAGTTCTATTTTTTAATTAAAATTTGGAAAATAGGATATAAAATTTTAAACCACTTTCGAGCAGTTTTCCGCCCAAACCATGACGATTTAGCCATCGAAAAAGGTACCATTCTCTTCGTCTCGTCGAGAAGTATGATTTTCGTTTTTGAATCATTTGATTTCGTTGAGTATTGAAGAAGTTATGAACGTTTTTGATATATTATGGATCAAATTTGGTTAAGAAACGATTGAGTTATACAGCTTTGAAAATTGCCCAAACTTCCGGCCAAGAGCTCCGGGACACTTAACGGAGTTCTTAACGGAATGACCAAAATGATGGATGATGGACAATCTCAGGGACCACTTTTATTGATTTGAAATGTTGAGGACAAAAGTGATAAGTTATGCAAATCTCAATGACCATTTTGGCTATTTAGCCTAAATTTTTTAACCAAAGAGACACGTTTTACACTAAAACGTGTTATATATTTTTCATTAAAGCTTTGTAAAAACTACAAAATTCTATATATGTTTTTTCTTTACAAGTTGTTTCATGTTCTATTTGTATGTATTACGTTAAGAAACAAATAGGGAAAAAAAGGCTAAATGAGTCTCATTTTTAGACCACTAATCTCAAGTGCGACGACGTTGATGCTATATTTTATAAATATTTTCAAAATCAATATGGTCCAAAAACGTGACACTGATAGTAATATTCAATGGAAAAACCATATTGATACCTTTGGTGAGTGGGTGACATGCTAACAAAAAACAATTTCGTCTTGGTTCGATTGACATGGACCTCCAACCAATCCGACCACGTCTGTAGAGCCATCTCATAAACCCTAAACATCTCGACATCTTTGTATATCGCGTCTGAGCTCTCAGAAGATCCCCACCTTCAATCATTGCCAAAAACAAAACTCACAATAATTAAATTAAAATTTAATCGCAAAGTCTAATAAGTAGTTCTATCTAACGTCTACCTAATATTTGTATCCAAAAAAATAACTTCTACCTAATCTTGTATTAATATTACTCAAGATTTTTTCAATAACTCTGGGGTATTTCATATTTTGAGAGTAAAAAATAAAATAACCGATATCTAATGATTAAAATGTTGAAATATAAAATACTTTGAAGCACCAAAAAATTTTGGTATTTAGAAACTTTACTTACAAGACATTCATTTGATCCCTTCTCCACCAAAGATATGAATTGAAAACAAGAAAGTCGGCGTCCGTCCAGTGCCTTGCATGTTTTTCAATTGCCTGCACTCTTACAATCCGATCTGGCAATCGGTGGTTCACTGGGTCATCGGAGTTTGACTCCACCAACAATGGGGCCCAGTAGAACTCAACTGTGGCATTGTATTCCTTAATTTAATCACATTGATTGAAACAAAGATTAGTTAGTTTGATCAGAATTATAATATTGGATTCTGACAGCTATGAAACAAAGAAAACATGACAAGCTAAGGATTCTGACAGCAGAAGGTTCTGCTTCTTTGTTAATCTATTTCTAAGTTGGTGAAATACGTGCAATGGAAATGTTATCTTATTTGGGTTTTGGCTAAGTATTGTGTATTCTTCTGAACTAGTATGTTGTGTTTTCAGATGAATCGTGTTTAAATAGGTTGATCTTGATCAAGGTTTAAAATATCGATATTATTCTAATATTTTCATCGAAATTTCCGTGTTTTTGGACTACCGATATTTCCGATATCATTGATATTTCAGACCTTGATAGGAACTCTATGTGGTACTAAGTCACTCATGTATCTTACCATGTAATGTATGAAGTGCAAAATATTGTACTAATTCATTATATATAAATGATTATAGTGTGTTTAAACTTCTTTCATTAATTACTACATATTTTCTACACTCACAATATTTGCCAGCTCGCTATATAATTAACTTAAATCAGTTAAATCCATCATGCAATGCATTTCATTCCAATTTTTGTTTGATAAACTAATAGATAATTTACTAAATAAACATCCTGCAAAGTTTTAATAAAAATTTCCAAGTTTTTCTTACAATTTCCGTGGTTTTTATTCAATTTTTATGAATATTAATAATATCCTGATATTTCCATCCAAATTTCCATGTTTTTGAATTACCGATATTTCCGATATCATCGATATTTTATACCTTGATCTTGATTAACAGTTCAATAACATATTATTTCAAGGTTTTCGTGTGGTTGATTTTTTACCATTGATGGTATGCAAGCTATACATGATCAAATTATCATAAGTGATCAACACATATGCATAGGCGATTGACATTAGCTACTATTATCAATGTAACACATATCATGTCAAGGATTTTGCGTGGACAATTTCTAACAGCTGATTGGATCCAAGCTACACTTGTCAATGATTAGAAATCGTCAATATTCAGTTTTAGCTACTATTGTCAGTGTAATGTATTATACAAAGGTTTTCCGTGTGGGAGTTTTTGGTTGTTGATTGGACGCTACACATGATCAATAATACGAATAGTTAACGCATGTATGTGGGCGACTGACGTTAACTACTATTGTTTGAGCTTAAGTTTGCCAATTACACATAAGCCAAACTAAAAGAAATACCAAACAAAGCCCAAATAAAGAAACACCAAGCCAAGCCCAAATAAATGGGTTACAATTAGAGAAGAGAAAAGAAAAGAAAACTCACAGTGGCCTTGAAGATGTGCAAGGAGCCATTGAATTTTGTCTGCATGGATTTGAGCTTTGGACTGATGGCTGAGTCAACCAGGCATACCATAGAAACCCATTGACCTCTATTCAACGAGTCCCCAACAAACACAAGCCTCTTATTCCTCAGCCTCTCAAGCAACGCTGTCGCGTTGAACCTAGCTTATGTAATTTTACATGAACACAATCCCACAAAACTCAAAAAACAGCCATTTAAAATTACAATCTCATTATCCAGCTGCCCAAGAAAACGAAAAAATTATACACACGTAAAAATCCATATTTTAAATTAAAGAAAAATTTAGGGAGATCGAAACTTCCCTGCACTTGGAATCCCTGTTGTAAGTTAATCATGCATTATCATGTGTTTTATTGGGTTATAAGAATGTTGTCTCTGGGGCATCCCAGGTGCAGCGAAGTTCTTATCAGAATAATAAGAAGAGGGAGAGAGAGAGAGAGAGAGACCTAGGGAGGTCGCATTGGTGAGGCTGCCACCTCCAGTTCTGATAGCTCAAGTCTTTTCTCCCAAACTTCTCACAAGCCAATTGGTCTGACATATAAGTGCACTGTTTCTCCTTGTACAGAGGATAAGACTGGTTGTCGAAAACCCATTTCCCTGAAAACAAATTGCATCTGCTGCTGCTTGGCAATTTAGGGTTTTCCCCAGCTGCGGCTGCTGCTGAAGTTTCCAGTGTGGTTGTTATATGACAATAATCTTGATACAACAATTGCAGTCCACCATCTAGGGTTAGATAAACAGCTGCAACTAGTACAGTAGTCACAAGGATTGCAATGAGGGAATGCAAGCTGCTTCGGATATTCCATGTTTTTGTGGGAACAAGCACAATTTTCTGCTTTTTGGCCATTTGATTCATTGCAAAAATATTCTAGCTAGCTATTTGGTGCATGTGGGAGGAGTCTCTGGTTTCTCCCTTTTGAAGCTTCGTGATGAGAGTGGTGGGTGAGAAACAATTTTCATTGTTTAATTTTTTTTTTCTTGTTCAGCATTAGGAGTCTGTGAAAATTGCACTTTCCTGGTGGTTTGCTGAAAGCAATACATTTTGAGTTGGGTGGTCCTGGTCTGGTATGACAATTGACCCAAATAGTAATCTTTTATTTTCAGCAATGGACCAATTTGATAATATTGCTTGGATTGTATTTGCAGCAATGTGTCAAGGCTAAGCAAATATAACAAGATATATTTATATATTCTTACAATTTTCTGGTGAGATGTTGATGTATGTAAGTGAAACTGGACTATAATGTTCTTTTTTTTTTGAGCTTAGTCTTAATAGTATTACAAGTACAACCATGAATTAGGGTTGAACATGGACGTTCCACCTTAATATATCTTGGAGTCAAATAATGGTCGTTAGTGGATGATTAACTGAACATAAAACTTCAGGAATGTTTTCTGACAAATATTTGGTGAACATATAGATCATTGGACCAAACTTATTAGATTTGCATAATTGTTCATATAATTGTTCTTTTTTTTTTGTTTTTTTTTGTTTTCGAGTTGGGGTAGGACTTTCTAGGACCGGTTTAAACTCAAAGTCCAGAGTTGATGGACAGTCCAATCACCAGGGAAGTAAAATGAAGGATTCTACTCAAATGACAGTGATTACAACTCTTTATGATCAAGTAATGGTCAATTTGATTGGAGCATATTATTAGCAACACTGTAATCCACAGATTTATGGAATGTAAAAAACAAATCAAAGCTTGGAGAAGAAGCTTAGAGAGTAAGAAAAGGGCTAAAAGATCTTATCTCATATAACTGCATTTCTACTTGTTACAAACTTCACCGACTATGAAGAGAGAGAAATGCTTTATATAATTGCAATACAAATGTAAACCGACATAAGCAATTGTTGATGTGGCAATTGCTTATGTGTGTCCAATACTCCCCTTTCAATCTTAACTGGGATATCCTAGATTAAGATTGTTACAGTGTCGAACAAAATCTGGTCTATGAAGACCCTTAGTTAAGATATATGTAACTTGATCCTTGGTTGGAACATATTGAACTAGCAAATCTCCTTTCTGCACTCGTGTTCTCAAACAAAATGAAAATCTATTTCCAAATGCTTAATTCTGAAATGTTGAACAAGATTTAGACTACGAGCAAGAACAAATTGATTATCACATAGCAGCAATGGAGGATTGGAAGCACAATGCAAAGATCTCTCAATATCATCCTTATCCAAGCTATATCGGCCGCAGCATGAGCTAAAGACTTGTGTTCAACTTTAGTGGAACTCCTAGACACTGAACTTTGTTTCTTGGATTGCCAAGAAATTGGATTATCACCTATATAGATGACATACCTTGTTATGGACCTCCTAGTATTAACATCAACAGCCCAGTCTAAGTCACTATAGCCACTGAGATGTATACCAGAACCAGAGGTAAAGTTCAAACCATATTTGATTGTTCCTTGCAAAACCCCACTACTACAAAAGTGGCTTATTGTGTCGATGATTGGTGCCGGTTTTATATAATATACTGGCGGATAAGACATTTCTGACACTGTAACATCCCACATCGCCCAGGGGAGTGGATCTGTAAGCCTTATATATATATATTCCCATCTCTACCTAACACGAGGCCTTTTGGAAGCTCACTGGCTTTGGGTTCCATCGGAACTCCAAAGTTAAGCGAGTTCGCACGAGAGCAATCCTAGGATGGGTGACCCAATGGGAAGTTCTAGTGTGAGTTCCCAGAAACAAAACCGTGAGGGCGTGGTCGGGCCCAAAGCGGACAATATCGTGCTACGGTGCAATCGAGCCTGTGATGTGGTAGGGGCCTAGGCCAGGATATGACTGACACCCTCTTTACATAGTGTTGGAATTAATGTCGGGTATAAGTTATAACCGACATAAAGTGTCTATGTCGCTTATAACCGACATAGCTTTTAATCTTTTTAAATGATGGTGTCGTATAAAAAGAAAACCCTGTCGCTTTCTACTGATATAAAGTTAGTGTCGGTTTAAAAAAGAATCGTGTCGTTTCTACCCGACACTAATAATTATTTTTAAATATTTTAAAACCTGGTGTTGTTTTGTTATCTGCCATGAGCATAATGTGTGATGAATTCATATATACCTAAGTTAAAAAAAAAAGGGTAAATTACATAATACCCCATCAGGTTTGAGGTCTATTACAACTTCATACAACATCTTTAAAACATTTCACTTTCATACCTCACCTACTATTTTATTTCAATATAGTACCTCCGTTACATTTTTCATCCATTGATCCATTAAAAGCTGACGTGGCTGCCACATTTATACCACGTGGCTGCCACCTGTGTGCCACGTGGTTGCCACCTTCCCCGCAACCCTTCCCCACCCCTCTTCTACCTCCCAGAACCCATCTTCCCCCCTAACTTACCTCCCTCCGTTCGGCCCCTCCCTTCACCACCAAAACCTCAACTTCCCCTTCTGTTGGTTCCCCTTCCGTCCGTCCCCTCCCTTTACCACCAAAACCACATATGCACCCTAATTCCTTCCCCTTCCATCTGTTCCCCCACCTTCACCCCCAAAACCACATATGCACCCTTGTCCTTTAATCCAAAACCCTCGAAATCACAACCAATTCTCTGCAATTCAATCTTCTCTCTCTGCAATTCAAGCTTGTAAAAACCTTAATTTCAGTTTCCCCAACCTAAAGCTTCATTCTCTCTTTGCGATTTAAGCTAAAAGCCCTAATATTCTCTCTCTACGATTCAAGCTCGTAAAAACCTAAATTGCAGTAAACCCTATTCCATTCTCATACCGAGCAACTAGAGAAACTCGGTCATCGATCTCGAGTGCTCTGTGTTGCTCAAGGCAATGAGAGATCTAGGAGTGGATTGAAGCCTCGTCGCAATGGGGGTTTGTGGGTCGGGTCGAACTCGAGCACTGAAGGTTTTAAAGGGTGGTCCGGTTCGAATAAGGGGAAGAGTCATTGGACTCGCAGAGCAAGAGCTGGAATAGCTGGTCCACCTTTCCAGGCTATGTTCGCCCAGTCTGTCCCCGAGCACATCAAACACCGCATCGAGCAACCTCAGCTCCGCCAAATAGCTGCCAGTGACGTCTTACAATCAACGATGCTTCCAGTGGACCACAGTGGGCTTGCTCGGTTAGATTCCGAGTTGAATCAAATCTATTATGCTTTTGATTTTGCATTCCAGCGGCTGATAATTTTCCCATTGTTCTTGAATTTGCTTTTTATTTTTTTTATTTTTTATGGGTTTCAACTAAATGGGTTTGTTTGATTAAGGTTTTTTTTTTTTAATTGGGATTCTGGGTTGTGTTTGGTTGCTGAGAAAATGATAGAGGGTGAGGGGAAAATTTTGGATATTTTAGTTTTTTGGTTTTGCTGGGTTTTTGAGGATTTGAAATCGAATGGGTAGGCTTTGCATATTCTTTTGAAAGACAACATGGTGTGTTTAGTTAGAGGGAAATTGAGAGAAAATGGGTAGGAAATGTTTGGATTTCTATGTGTTCTGTTGAGTGTGGGAAAATTTAGAACTTTTCCAGTTTTTGGCTTCTGGGATGGAGATTGACGGATCTGGAGCAAGATGGAGATTAAAGGTTGCGGGGGAGGCTCGGGTGATGGGGGATGGGAGAAGAGGGTGGGTGTTGGGGGGATGGGCTCTGGTGGGGGGGAAGGGGTGGGGAAGAAAAAAAGGGACTTTTGGGTTTTTTTTTTTTTTTTTTTTTTTTAATAATTTTTTTTATAAATTTTATATTTTTCTTTAATTAATTATTCTAATTTTTTAATTTTTTTTATTAAGTGTTTATTCACGTGGTATAAATGTGTCAGCCACATCAGCACAAATGGGGACCTCATATTTGCCATGTCATCACTTAATGGTTAACTTAACAGAATTTTTAACGGTTGTATGAAATTGAAATAAAATAGTACTTGAGGTATGAAAGTGAAATGTTTTAAAGATGTTGTATGAGATTGTAATAGACCTCAAACCTGAGGGGTTACTATGTAATTTATCCATATAAAAAAAATTTAAAAGGCGGGTCACTAAACTTTTGCAAAATTTCAAACATTTTGAAATTTGAAATATTCACACCACTCGAGCACACTTCCGCACAAAATTCTAAATATGAAGAGAAATCCAAATTATTTCACACCACTCGACCAGCCCACAGTAACCACAACAATGGCATTCACATCGTTATTCTCTACGCAACCAGCCACAACAGCAGCAGCAGCAATCACCGTTTCAAATTCAACAGCCCTCACAGCCATTTCAGCAAAGCAGCTCATTCTTCTCCCAACAACCACCGCAGCAGCAGCAGCAATAACAACTATATTTGTTTGCTAATGACAAGTCTCCGACGAGTTATTGTACCAAGTGGGCGGATCTCCATTCGGATTACCAGAAAATTCTTCTGTAGATTGAGTTAGTTTTCTTGAATTTTTGTGAAGAAATTTTTAGCCTGTTATTGGTTTTTCATTGTGATTTTTTGGGGTGTTTGGCCTGATTGGTTACTGAGAAAATGTAGGAAAAGAAAACGACATTTTGAGTCTTTTTCATTGTGCAAAGTAGTATTAGGCAAAATTGATGCATTAGATTTTGTAAAGTGAACTCTTTTTTTTTTTTTTTTTTTTTTAAATTTTTTTTTTTACCAATATTTGTTGGGTTTTAATTAAAGTTCAAAACTTGGGTTTAGTTTGTATTAAATTCCGAGTGTAATAGTTCAGAACTTGGGTTTACTTTTTTACTCTTATAATTATGAGCTGAGCTGAGATAACTCATATGGTTTAATTTTGAGGTTCTTAATTATTGTTTGCTCACCGGGAACGGATACTGGGTATAGGAATGAAAGCCAGCGGCTGGATCAGTGTACTTGAGATGGAAATGGAAGGATGTTAATTTTTTCCAGTCCTCCTTAGTCCAATATCTGCTTACAGGAGTACGTATTTTTTGGCAGTTTGATTATTTCGTATATACATTATCTTTATAAAAGTTGAAAAGCATTTAACTTGCGAGATCTTATGCACAATTCTGAACGACTTCGTACCTTGATAATAGAATTGCATTGCATAGTACTGTTAGGTAAAGGGGTTGACTAAGACAGACTTTTTTATATTATTATTATTAATTGTTTGTGGTGTCGCTTATGTGCGACATTATAGTGATTATTTTATTTATCAAATTATTAGGTGGTGTCGGTTAGGACCGACACCAGTCTGCTCTATCCGACAGTTATTGTCAGTACTTAATGTCGTCTGTATCCAACGTGAGCCTCAATTTCACTTTTAACTTACGCTACTATCTTTTTTTATTTTATATTGCTTTCCTTCTTTGTGGCGGATTAAGGGGACTAACCGACATCAAAAGCCTTTTCGTGACGCTAGCAATGGCGTCAGTTTTGTTATCCGACATTGCATGAGTTTATGTTAGATTTTTACCAAATATCCGACATAAATTATGTTTTCTTGTCGGTTTTTGGACCGCCAATTATGGGTAATTTTGTAGTAGTGACCTGATAATTCTTTTAACTAGACCAAGATGAACATATGTGGGAGAATTCATAAACTGACAGACATTGTTAACGGCAAAAACAATTTCTAGTCTTGTGAAAGTCAAGTATTGTAGTGCTCATACAAGACTTCAATAAAAGGTTGGATCAGATAATAACACTCATTCAGTAGCAAAAATTGAGTTATTAGGTTTGCAAGGAGTGAAACATAGCTTACAACTTTCCATTCCAGCTTTACGAATGAGATCTCTAACATATTTTTCTTGATTCACAAACATATCACCATTGGACTTGTATTGGATTTATAATCCCAAGAAATAAGTAAGTTGTCCCAGATCTTTCAAATCAAAAGCTCTACCAAGATCATCAATCACAGACTGAATAAGATGTGAATTCGAACCTGTGATGATTATATCATCTACATAAAGTAGTAATATAACCACATATATCCCAACTTGTTTAACAAATAAAATGGAATCGAATAATGATGCAGTAAATCCAAGAACAGAAAGATAATAGGTAAATTTGGCATTTTATGCCCTTGGTGCTTGCTTAAGCCCATAAAATGACTTAACCAACTTATAAACATAAGAAGGACACTTTGAATCAATAAAACCTGGAGGTTGCCTCATATAAACTTCCTCATGTAACTCTCCATGTAAAAAGGCATCTTTAACATCAAGTTGTCTAAGAGACCACTTGTTAGTAGTTGCCAAAGATAAAATCAATCTCACAGTTGTGTGTCTAACTACTGGACTAAAGGTTTCAGTATAATCTAAACCTTATTCTTGACTAAATCCTTGAGCAACTAATCTAGCTTTGTGCCTAGACATAGTGCCATTAGGATTTCTCTTCAATTTATATACCCATTTATAGCCAATGATGTTCTTATCAGAAGGAGCATGTACCTTGAGTTTGAAGAGCATCAAACTCCTCTTGCATAGCTTTTTTCTACTTAGATGATTGAGAAGCAGCCTTAAAAGTAGTAGGTTTTGAGGAATCAGTGATATCTGCAATAAATGTAAACCTTCCAGAAAAATGATTATCATCATGCAAATTTAAGGAAGTAATCTCAGGAAATGTAGCCATGAGAGCACTGTAATCAATTCTGGTAATTGCACTAGTTTTAAGCCTTGGTTGAATACCATGAGAAACTTCAAGTGAACCTGGGAGAGAAGGCAGCTTAACTTCCAACTGATTTGAGGAGTGGACAGGCAACATGGAAGGAGAAGAGGAAAGAGTAGCATGAGAACTAGGATAAGTAGTAACTGAAATGTGAGAGTGTTGAATAGGATCCTGACTTGAAGAATTGGAAATAGATGCAGATGACATCATATTTGAACTCATAGGTGAATTCAATGATTCACTATGAAACTGGTTGCAGACTGAGAAGAATTATGTGGCATAGTAATATTAGTACCCAACTGAACAACAATAGGCCTAGTAGAAGAAGATGTCCCATGGTTTATATCAGTATCAATTGGTGATGAAGCATAAGTTGATAGCAAAGGGAAAACAAGTTTCATCATGTATCACATTTCTGGACATTAAAAGCTTGTCTGTCAACTTATTAAAACACACAGAACCTTTGTAGCCATAGATATAGCCCAAGAAAATACACTGAGTAGACCTAGGTTGCAGCTTATGAGCATTATAATGTCAAAGGTACGGATATATCGCAGATCCAAAAACTTTCAGTGTAGACAAATCAGGTTTCTTATGAAAAAGTTTCTCAAATGGAGAAATCATTTGTAAAATCTTACTAGGCATTCTAATTATTAGAAACACAACATAAGCCACAACATGATACCAAAATCTATGAGGAAGTGATGCAGTGGACAACAAAGTAAGGGCAGTCTCCACAATATGCCTATGCTTCCTTTCTACTAATCCGTTTTGTTGTGGTGTGTATGGACACATACTGTACAATACCTTTATGAGCAAGAAGATTTTTTAAAGCATTACTGAGAAATTCACCACTACCATCAGATTGCAATATTTTGATCTTGGCTTGAAACTGATTTTCTAGATAAGCACATAATTGTACAAAGGTACCAAAAACATCTGATTTATTGATTAAAGGAAAAATCCATACAAATCTTGTTGCTTCATCTATAAATGACACATTGTACCTATAACCTTCAAATGATACAATTGGTGAAGGACCCCATACATCATTATATATCTTATGAAAAGGAATTGATATTCTGTCAAACTTCTCTGGAAATAATAACCTACTAATTTTACCACTAATACAGTGAGAACAAGTCTTAGGATGTACATTAGTAGAGAAGTAAATATTAGAATCTCTAGGCATAGTTTGTAGAACCTCATTGGAAAGATGCCTCAGTCTGTGGTGCCACGAAGAAGACTTTACCATTTTGCCCAAAAATGCTGAAGAGACATCACCTTGATTCATCACAGTTGGAAAAACATGCATAGGAATCCTAAATAGTTCATTGTTGCTACTCTTTCCTTGATAGAGTACTTCCCTTGTTGCCTTGTCCTGCACAAAGAATTCAACATCATCACAAATAAACCAACTGTGGTTATCTCGACAAAGCTGTTTTACAAAAAGTAGATTGACTGTCAACATTGGAACATGAAGAACATTTTTGAGATATAAGGGATGAGAAGAAGTAGGTAATTGGCTAGTGCCAATATGTTTGACAACTAAACCTTCCCCATTACCAACAATAATCTTATCTCTATCATAAGGAACTGCAATGTTTAAGATAGTGACATCAGGACTCATATGGTGTGGAGCTCCTGTATCAACTATCTAAGAACAATTTCCAGAGGTAGGTTGAGCAATAAATGTAGTTGGCAATTGATTTTCTGGAATATCTGAAAAATTATGAGAAGACTGACCCTGATGAAAAAAAAGGTGGTGCAGAAAAATCAGGAGGCACATTTGAAGATGCTGAATGAAATCCCTGATAACCAGAGGTACCAGCGAAAAAACCGTTCTGAGAAGAATTGTACTGAAACTGAGAATGATGGTCTTGAAATGCAAAATTTGCATGTAAAGAAGCTTGTGGAGGAGCCCCTTGATATGCATAATTGCCCATGTGTCTGCAATCAATAGCAATATGTCATTTCTTTCCACAAATCTGGCACTCCTGAATTACTTGATTATTTTCACTCCTATAGCAACATGTAACAACAATATGTCATTTTCTCAAACATATTTGACATTCAGGAATGACCGTTTGTCGATTAGATGTATTTCCAGACCAAAAACCACCAGACTTTGAATTGTTATACCTTGGTTTATAGCCACCATTATTCCTGCCCTTGTAACCATTATTACCATAAAGCCTAGTTCCTTGACCTCCAAATTATTGCCAGATGATTGAAAACCATTACCATTTGAAGTTCCATACTGAGGAAAAGAAGATTGTGGAGCAGCCATGTTTGAAGAATTAGAAGCATTAAAACCATATCCAAAATTTTGTGTAAATACAGAAGGAGAGCCAGGACCAACAAAAATACTAGACGCGCCAGAATGAGATTGAAATGATGAATTACCATTATGAGAAGAAAGTATTGCCCCATTGACATACATAGCAGCCATACTATGAACAAGAGTTTGCATTCTCCACTCACAAAGCTTCAACATACAAGCTTCAACAAAAGAAAATTCAAAGAACTTAGCGAAGAAGGCTTTGGTGTATTTAACACAATACGTTGAAATGAAGGAAAACTTATTTATTGATATCCCCGATAAGTTACAAATATGTACATATACTTGAGTCAAAATAAACAAACAAGAGGGAGCCTTCACAAAGGTTGCTTAGGAGAAGTCTCAGCAAGCGGTAGAGCCACAGAAAGAGAAGGCACCGGAAGAGGATCATTCGGAGCCTCAGTACTGGACAAAACCCTAGAAGGAGGAGGCATCAGAGGTTGATCATTTGGAGCTTCATTACGCGGTACAGCCCCAGAAGACGAAGGCAATAAATGCCTTTGGAACAAACCCACAAATCTCTGATGATCAAGTAAAACCTGACCATCAGATTCCTTCATCTGGTCAAGCTTCCTCTTCATGTTTGTAGCATAGTCATGTGCGAGCCGGTGCAACTGTTTATTCTCATGCTTGAGCCCTCTAATCTCCTGTTTGAGACTCATCACTTCAGCCGCCAATGATTCAACTTGGCGGGTTCGAGCAAATAGGCGTTGGGCCATATTAGACACAGAACCTGCACACTGAACACTGAGAGCCAGAGAATCCTTAACAGCCAACTCATCAGACCGTTTGGAAAGTAGTCTGTTATCTTTGGGAGTGAGAAGGTTCCTGGCCACTACCGCAGCGGTCATATCATTCTTCATCACGGAATCCCCAACGGTAAGAGGACCAGTAGGGGAGACGAAGGATGGGCGCTATATGTTGTCTGGAGAAGGCGGGGCTGCCTCTTCAACAAGGTTCAAGTCAAAACGACGGTCGGAGGGGCCAGACATTTTCAAAGGTGTTGAAGAGAGAAGAGGTCGGACAAATCAAGATCTTAGAAGTGCAAGAATGGAGCTTCTACTGGTGGATATTCAAGTGTGCTTTGGAACTTAATGTCAGCCCCTATAAAAATCTGCACTCGACGAAGCTTCAGAAATCAAAGAGGCGTTTGCTTTCTCAAAAGCTGGGCTGCTCAGAGACCACGAGGGTCGATCTCAGAAATCGAAGAGGCGTTTGCTTTCTCAAAAGCTGGGCTGCTCAAAGACCACGAAGGCCGATCTCAGAAATCAAAGAGGCTTGCTTTCTCAAAAGCTGGGATGCTCAGAGACCACGAGGGCCGATCTCAGAAATCGAAGAGGCACCTACTTTTCCAGCCTTGTCAGCACCTGTCACACGCACACTCAGCTTTGCGGAAACTATGGGCATTCTGTCGAAAATTTCTGACGAAGTAGAAAGCACATGAATCGTACTGTTCAATCACCCACTTCCCACACGCAACAGTAGCTCATGGGTACCACAGATAACTTTGCCAAAGTTCTCTGAAAAAGTTGAGACACGTGAAGCTTGCAGCTCCCACTACATCGCTCTGACCAAGAAGGGTAAAAGAATTGCAAAGAAACAACACTAACAAAGTTTAAACACATAAATTTTGAAGGTCTAGCTACCATTTTATTACCCACAAGGGTAAAGGAACAGTACCACTGCTGGATAGTTGGAAAGTCCCGGTGTGTCAACCTCTGTGCTTCGTGGCAAGGTAGACTAGCAAACATGCCCAACCTGTACTCACATTCGAGAAAACACTCCCAACAAGATTGCTTGCTCCAAAATCGAAGAGGCACCGCCCTCCGAATCTCGAGAGCCAGACTCCCAACATGATTACTTTCTCAAAAAATCGAAGAGAGGGTAAAGGAACAGTACCACTGCTGGATAATTGGAAAGTCCCTGTGTGTCAACCTTTGTGCTTCGTGGCAAGGTAGACTAGCAAACATGCCCAACCTTTACTCACATTCGAGAAAAACACTCCCAACAAGATTGCTTGCTCCAAAATCGAAGAGGCACCGCCCTCTGAATCTCGAGAGCCAGACTCCCAACATGATTACTTTCTCAAAAATCGAAGAGAGGGTAAAGGAACAGTACCACTGCTGGATAATTGGAAAGTCCCTGTGTGTCAACCTCTGTGCTTCGTGGCAAGGTAGACTAGCAAACACGTCCAACCTTTACTCACATTCGAGAAAACACTCCCAACAAGATTGCTTGCTCCAAAATCGAAGAGGCACCGCCCTCCGAATCTCGAGAGCCAGACTCCCAACATGATTACTTTCTCAAAAATCGAAGAGACACCGCTCTCCGAATCTCGAGAGCCAGACCCCCAGCAGGATTGCTTTCTCAAAAATCGAAGAGGCATCGTTCTCCGAATCTCGAGAGCCAGATCCCCGACAGGATTGCTTGTTCGAAAATCGAAGAGGCACCACTTTCCCAACTTCAAGAGCTGGATCTCCTTGGATAAAGCTTGTCTGTAATCTTCACACGCAACATCAACTTTCCAGATACCACAGACCACTTTTTCAAAGTGCTCTGACAGGGTTAAAACATGTGAAGCTGGCAGCTCCCACTACCGTGCTATAACCAAGCAGGGTAAAGGAATAGCATTATTACTTGATGTTAGGGTGACTCCTATATATGTCGACCTCCATCCCTAACGGACAGGCAGACCTGCAAAAATGCTCAACCCTTTCTCTTATCTGAGAGGGCACTCCCAACGAAGCCTTTCGAACTATTCAGCTTTCTTTCCCCCCGATAATACCTCTGTAAACAAGCTATACTAGAGCAAGAATATCTCATATCATCAGGGTTAAAAGCAAGAGTATCCCATATCATGCTTTTTCCCTGTCTTTTCCTTTGGCCTTGTTCTTACCTGCAAGACAAGGAGAAAGAGAGCAATCAGTCAACACTTGGAATCAAGCTTCCAGCCAGGAACTGACTGCCTGGAACCCCTTACCTGATTACTTACCTGGCATTGCTCTCGAGTACTCATCTTCAAAATCTTATGCTTCCAGGGAAGATACCGCATCTGCCTGAGGAACAAATAGGGCAAGTGAGAAGGATACAAGGAAGCATGTGGAGACAAGCGTAACAGCACACGTGCCGATACATCCACTACTCTGTCAAAAGCAAAAGTATCCCATATCAGCAGGGTCGAACGTACTCTAGATTTGATGGACTTGTTTTGACCCTCAAATTCTTCAGTCGGCCTTATACTCTGGAGGAAACCAGAAAAACCCTCCAGCCCAGTTCAAGAATAAGCCTGTGGAAAGTTACTTCTTCAAAAGCAAAAGTATCCCATATCATCTCTCCTCATTTTTCTTCTCTTTATTATCCTTCATGCTGCCTGCAAGATAGGGAGAATGTGAACAATCAGCCGGAGCTCTGATTGCTTACCTTGTCTGTCACCTCTTTCAGCAGATCCCCTAGCTCGGCGACTTGGGGGACTCCTACTACATGGTTTGTATCGCGCTTGACCAAGCATGAAACTACAAGTAAGCTTCAAGTGAAATTGATACATTACCTTGTGCATCTCCACCAGTTACAGATACCACCCCTGGATGGAGGAAGAGTACTTCCAGAGAAGATGCCACATCTACCTATGAGACAGATAAGGCAAGTCAAGACGATACCACACTCCGGTACTTAGAAGTTTTCGTGGCTACGAGATCATTCTCCCACAATATTTCCTAATGTCATTTGTACTAAATCATTCACTTGTACTCACTAAAGGAGAGCTTGAACCTATGTACTTGTGTAAACCCTTCACAATTAATGAGAACTCCTCTATTCCGTGGACGTAGCCAATCTGGGTGAACCACGTACATCTTGTGTTTGCTTTTGTGTAAACCCTTCACAATTAATGAGAACTCCTCTATTCCGTGGACGTAGCCAATCTGGGTGACCCACGTACATCTTGTGTTTGCTTTCCTATCTCTATCCATTTATATACTTATCCACACTAATGACCGGAGCAATCTAGCGAAGATCACAAAAAGTGACCGTTTTCGCTACCTAGGATCTATCTTGCAAGAGAACGGAGAATTAGATGGAGATCTCAACCATAGAATACAAGCTGGATGGATGAAGTGTAAGAGTGCATCCGGCGTGTTGTGTGACCGTCGTAGGCCACTGAAGTTCAAGGGAAAATTTTATAGGACGGCAATAAGGCCAGCGATGTTGTATGGCACAGAATGTTGGGCAGTGAAGCATCAACGTACACAAAAATGGGTGTAGCGGAGATGAGGATGCTTCGTGGGATGTATGGGCACACGAGAAAGGATAAGATTGGGAATGAGGTTATCCGAGGTAAAGTAGGAGTAGCCAAAATTGAAGGAAATATGAGAGAAAACCGGTTCCGGTGGTTTGGACATGTGCAAAGAAGGCCTACTGACGCTCCGGTTCGAAAATGTGACTACGGGACAGAGGTTCAGGGCCGAAGGGGTAGAGGAAGACCTAGGAAAACTTTGGAAGAGACCCTAAGAAAAGACTTGAGTACTTGGATCTAACGGAGGACATGACACAAAACCGAGCGCAATGGCGTTCTAGGATTCATATAGCCGACCCCACTTAGTGGGAAAAGACTTTGTTGTTGTTGTTGTTGTAGGTCGTCCAATAAAAACTAGAACCCCACATATATACATGGAAGCTTTCCAATGGGGATGCTCAACCAAGAGTAAATTAGAGATTGACAAGGAACAGCTGACGTACTCTGATAAACATGAGATGCTTTATTCACCAATTGTCTAAATTTAATCCGTACTCATAAAGCTATAAGTTGCACCAATTGGGCCTTGTTCCCTTACATAAAACCGTCTCCGAACACCATGACTACATTCGAAGAAGCCAACCTGAATTCCATAAAAAAAAATAGAAAGCCTCACAGATGTCAGAATAGAACTTACCCATTGGACAAAAGTTGAATTTAACCTAAAAGCAAAAAGAAACCGGCAAAGGAAATCTCAGTTGAGAGTGTCAAAAGCTTTAGCCACATCAAACTTTATAGCAACATTCGTCAACGCATTTAGTATCAAGCAAGTTGACATATTCAAAGCCAGAAATATGCAATCAGAGATATGTCGATATTTAAGAAAGCATATTGGTAG